CTGCCAAGCTGGTCTGGAAGGACTAGGCATTGGCTGGGAGAGAAGTGTGCTGCAGGGAGGGGGAATGTCAAGTCCGAGGCCTGCAGCTGTGACACCAGGGTGTGATGGGGCACTAGTGAGAAATTTTAAGTTCACTGTCATTTGTCTCTGTCATCAGTAAGGTTAAAAGAGGCTATGTGAGGTACAGGGCTCCCTTTGACCTCTAGACAAGTGGCCAAGCAACAGATGATGTCAGAGGTAAGATGTCCTAACAATGAGACGTGACACTCCAGTGACCTCAAAAACCTATCAGAGGCAGCTGGCTATGTCCCTTCTCCGAATCTCTCCTGCTCCATATAGATCGATCAGGGGCTTGACTAGCAGGTCCTCCTTCAGCATGTGAGAGGAGAGCCGGTGGACGGTGAGGGGGGGAACAAAGGCAGATCACAGGGCCCTAACGTGAAGGACAACCTGTTTGAAAGGGTGATCCTCAATCAATTCCCCCAAAAAAAGCGTCATCTAGGTGTCTTAACCTGAAATACACAGACAGCTTAAAAAAAAGGTCTATGAATTCCCTTAAACTGTATGCAAAACCTTATGTGCACAGGTGCAATTTGTGGGGAAAGGCAGGGTCTATTTTTCACATTTTTTAAAGATCCCCATAACCTTAAATGCATGAGATGCACTGGGCTAGGTATAGGAGATTCAGAAATAAACAAAAACACAGTCTATAGAACCAGTTCCTACACTTGGCAAAACAAAATAAAACTCTGAAAAGCAGACAGACTTAAGTTCATATCCTAGACCTAAGTTAACTCTGTCACTTATAAACTGTGGCTTCAACCAATTCCTCAACCTCTCTGTTTCCTTTTCTGTAATAGCAAATACTTAGATTTATTTGAGGGGGAGAGAAGTGTAGGATGAGGTTTAAAATAAAAAGCAAATGTCTTATATATAGTAGGCAATCTAATGTCACAGATAATTATTTTTGCTGTTATTTCTACAGATATGCTGAGATGCCCAGGGGATAGAAAGATTTTTTTGGCTGAGTTTTTTTGGCGACAATATTTAGAGAAAAAAAACAGTGTCTGGCTGGGGGCCTCTGTCTCCGTGTGTTCTGGCACTGTTGTTCTTGGCTGTCCCTGGCCGGTGTCTGTCTTTACCTTGAACTGCCCTAAGATTAGAATTTCTCGTAAACAGTGACTTAATTATTCATCTGTCCCTTTTCACAATGCTGCTTGCTGTTCAAAGGACGACTGGATTGGTGCTGAGAAAGCTTTTACTGAAGGGCATGACCTCCAGTCCTGAGGATGAATGCAGAAAAGCTCCCGGGTTCCAGGTCACACCTGCTGCCAGCAACCTGCAGGGATTCAGGTGGGCTTTTCAGTCAAAGCGGAGCCGTCGGAAGGCAGTGCGTCTGAGAAAGATGCAGAGGAGGTCACCAGGAAAAGTTTTAGCCAGCAAACCTGTGAACTAGCTGCAAATGAAAGGGAATTGCAGTCTGCCTTATACTGGGATGAGGGTAGAGTCTTCCGCTAATTAACTTCTGGGGCGAAGCTCTAAGTTTAGGAGAGCCCTCTGCGATGAGAGAACTCCCGTTCGCCCTCAGAGCCTTCCCAAGGCCTCACCTGACTCTCCAGACACAAAGGTCCGTGTTCCTTCCTCTGCAGACTGACGCGAGGACACATCGCAGTCCCAGCCGCCTTCAGAGCGGCTCATTCGGGTGTTTCCCTTCCTCTGACGGTGCTTCCCTTGAGCGCACACCTGTGGCTTCCTGGACTGCGTAGCTTCAAAGTCTAGCATCGGTCTGAGCTCATAATCAAGGGCCCTGGATGCAGTGCCCGGAGAGACGGGGCAGTGCAGGAGGAAGGAGGAGGGGTGGGGGGGTTGTCCTGCTTCTGGAGGGAGGAAGTCGGGGGTTCCACTTCCATCCCCACATTTCACTTCTTGGATGACCTGTTGAGCTTCTCCAAGGCTGAGCTTCCCTACCTGTAAAAGTGGAGCATGTTACTTGTTGAGCATGTTATTCCTCTTGAGGAGGGTTTTGGGGATCAAATAAGATCAATACACGAAAACAGGAACAGATGGGATTGAGGTAATTACGAACAGCTTCCAACAAAGAAATAATGTGTCCCACACTCAAAAGTTCTATTGTTTCCTAGGCTTTAACCCCAAAGTGCGGACGGTAGCAGTTAGTCCCAGACCAAAGTTCCTGCCGAGAGGCCTTCAGTGCCTGTGGGTGGACGCCCTGGCCCCTGGCGGGGCCCCCAGCACGTCCTCTCACTGTGGCTCTGTCTGCAGCCATGCCCGGGCCCCAGGTACCTTGTGGCACAGCAAGGGTCCCCACCAGGCTCCAGAATGCCAGTTTCTCTCTCCTCCCGGCGAAACCCCACCAACTTCCAGAGCAGTCTTCCTGGAGCTCAAATGTCCCCTTCAGGCTTGAAAACACCCAAGAGTCCCGCAGTGTCATCAGGATCAGACTCAGCTCCCTGGCACAGCCCACCCTGTCCTCACACACCCTGGCTTCTGTGAGGTGTGACTCTCCACTTCCTCTCCTGTCACCCCCACACCAACCCTGGGCTCCCTGAAGGCACCACTCACTTTCTATCACCCTGCCTTGCTGGGTATGGGCTGTGGCTTTTGTTGAGGGGTTTTCTCTGCTCCCTTTTGCTCATCCACCCACCAGGAAAATCCATACTCCCCTTTAAGACTCACCTCAAAGCTGTCTTTCTCTTGGCAATCTGGTTTCCTCCTCGACAAGATTCACTGCTCACGTCTGAGATCCCATAACCCCTTGTGGATGTTGCTGTCGTAGCTCTGACCTCCCTGCCTTGTAATTGTTCCACCACGTGTCTGTCTTCCCCTGTGGCCTGTGCTGTCCTCAGGGGTAAGGCTGGGGCCTGGTTCTTGACTGAATTCCCAGCCACATGGTAAGTGAGGGATGGAAGCCCCTTTGATGCATCCGTCCTTTCTGAAGACCACCGAGGTGTCTGCTCCCCGGAGAGCAGCAAGTCAAGCCCAGTCACCCATTCACATCCCCAGCCCGGCTCTCCCACCTATCGTTCTGTGCGGCCGTGCTAGTTCAGCCTGAACTGGGAGTTTTCTGTCCAGTCTTTCCTGTTTTATCAGCCTTCTGCCCGTTCACCACGAGACTGTGAGCTTTTTGAGGTGGGGGAGGCAGGCATTTCTCACCCGCTGCACCCGCCCCAGGTCCAGCAGCATGCTAGGGCCAGGCCGCCATGCCCTCAGGGCCTCCTCATTCCTTCCTCAAGGGTCTCTCAGGAGCAGCAGAGCAGATGCGTAGGAGCCCAAGTCTGGGAGGGCACAGGATGAAGATGCCACTCCTTCCTTCCTAACATGCTATGAAATGACTCCATGAATATCCAGACTCAGGGCCCCTGCTCACAGCCAGGCAGTCTACCCCCAATTACCCTGCCTTTCTATTCTCTTTCATTTTCTTCTTCCTTAAATTAAACTTTCATGGCTCCATTTCCTTCTTTCCCTTTACAAGAACCCTGACATATTTCCTCAAGGAAATACTTTCAAAATCATAATTGAAACACAATAATTCATAATAGAAACGGAGGACAGGAGTAATAGATTTAGCTCTCATTTCTGGTGGCAGACACGTTAATTACATTTTCTATTTCCTCTCATTACCACGGAGCATGTCTCTGACAGTCCAGGCCAGCCTGCAGCTCCCTCTCCCCCCAGCTGGCCGAACCCGCCCTCTGTCACACTCCCAGAAGGTCTGAAGGCCACCGTGGGGATACAGGACTGACCGCGTCGCCCTGGTGGCCTGCAGTCCGTCCGAGTTCCACCGGGCACAAATCCAGTTTCCTTGGTGGGGATGGAAAGGTGGAACGCTTGGCTCTCCCTCCTCCGGGGTCAGCCGCCCTCAACTAGTGTGGCGCCCTGAGGGCACTTGCCCTCCCCTAGCTCTGCGCTTTGCCTAGGCGGTGGCCTTTTCCAGGGGCACCTTCCTCCTGAGCATGTCAGGAAGACCACGTCACGTCTATCTGCCCGGGCATCCCTGGCCTCTGCCGGCTGCCCTCCACCTGGGAAGGCAGAAGTCATGGCTTTCTCCTCTTTGCTCTGAAGTCACGTAGCTTACCTCTGCCCTGCCACTTACGCCCGGGTATCATGACGGGCTTGTCAGCTTCCCTCCCCTCCCCTCCCGCCCTGCCCTTGCCCGCAGTGCACAGACAGCCTCAGAAGCTGTCATCTGTGTGTTTGGGCAGCGTGTTTACTTATTTCAGAACTATTAGCATGTAGCCTGGTGCCTGGTGCAGGATTAGTGCTCGTCAGAATATTTTTAAAATGTATACTGAAAAAAAATTGGCCTATTTTGTTTATAAACAAAGATAAGCAAAAGATGGTATAAAGAAGCCTTTATGAAGGCACTATTATTACTAATTTATATCAAGCTAAAAAGGAGAAGGAATTGATATTTCCAGGGGTTTCTGAACTGATTAGGGAGGGAATTGTGATTCAGACCCCAGGAAAGAAATGCACAGATTTCCGTAGCCCCAGGCTTCCTGGACGGGAGACCTTCTCGTGAGCAGGAGGTGAAGAGGATTCCTCAGGGCCCTTCCCTGAGAACCTAAATCCTACCATGCCACCCCTTCCTCCCCTGAGGAGAGCCTTGCAAAGCCACCCTGGAACTAAAGGAAAAGTGGGAAGATGTGCACCTTCATACATACTTGTCAAAATATTCTCCTATAATTTGGCCCAAGTGGAAAAATCTAAAACGAACTGCTTACATGTACAAAAAGAAAGGACTGCATATAAAGCCCTGCATTGCCCAATCCGTTTTTACTTCATGATCAGCTCTCCTAAGCCCACCCAGCAGGGACCACAGGCGGATCGGAAACAACTGTCACCATTGCACAATAACGCAGAATCATAAAACAAGTAAATGACAACAGCCTGTCTGTTTTTAAACTACTTTTTTGTTCATCAAGGATTTTTAGATTAATTTTGATTTTTTAAAAATATTGCATTCAAATATTTACCTTGACTTCTGAGTTTGTTGGTGCATACTTAAATTTTTTGCCCAAAGTGAATGCCTTCCTGGTGTCCACCTAGCCCGCCTCTGCCCCTCAGCTGCCCTCGAGGCCTTAGGCCAGGTCTGGTTCCTTCTCAGAGCTCGTCTTCCTCAAGGAGCATCGGATCCAGTGGGGGAAGCTGAGCCTGCCAACTGTTCACTATTTTCTGCAAGGTAGAATGAATGAGGGAGACAGAAATCAGGCATAACCGAAGTGCAGATGTGAGCTGAAAGGGCAAACAACGCAACAACTGTGTGTTTTAGGGAAAACTGGAAACAGAGTGAGGTATTGGGATTGGTCCTTGAGAGATGAAATAGGTCTCTATAGATGGAGAAGGAGGAAGGGCATGCCAGGTGGAGGCAAGGGCATGAACATAAGCTTAGACGCACGCTGTCTCAGGAGGGTTTATATGTGGGCCCAGAAGGGAACAGGACAACAATGCTCAGCTTGGCCGACTGGCTCCAAAGCTGGCCTGATGCTGACGGAGCCTTTCTGGGTTTGCAGAATAGGCTCAACGGGTCAGAATCAGTTCTGTTAGGAGTGCACCCTCCTTGGGCAAAGAAGGCTTCTGCTGGGCTTGTATGCTGCTGACAAGGCTGGCCCTGCCTGCAGGCCCCCAGGGGAGGTGCCCTGGGCTGTGCTGGCTCCTTCTCCTGGGAGCCGGGGGCATCTGCTGCCCAGGTCGGGAGCTGCCCACCCACCTCCTGGAGGAGACAGATGGTTCTGCATCTCAGGATGATGCTAACAGAGTGGGGCACCAGAGAAATGGGCCTTTCCAGGGTTTTGGGGGAGCCTATGGAGTCAGAACAAGATGAGCGCAAGGCTCTACTCTGGCAGCACAGAGGTGCTGGCTGGCTCCCCGAGGCCCCCGCGCTCTCCCCTGCCCAGAGTTAACCCACAGTCAGGAGGTGAGTTTTCCCCACTTCCAAACTTATTAATGAGTAACAGGACCACGGCCATCCAGGAAAGTCGTGGGGCTGGGGGTCTCCGCTCTCTTCGCCGATGCTTGGGGAACATTCCTCTCTGAAGTTTGGCCGACCTGCTACTTCATTCTGCTCTTGGCTTCCTTTCCCTGTCGCACCCCAGGTGGCTTTCAGAAAACACATTCCACATCTTTCTCGTCTCTTGTGTAAGTCAGGCTGCCTCGGTTCGGCCCTCCCTGCTTGCTCTAACATTGGCTGGGGGCCTGCTCACCTCCTCCCGTGGGGACCGGACACCCCAGGCTGCCTGGGGGAGGGAGGGGCAGTAAGTGTGTCTGGGTTGGGCACAGAGCTGTATTCTTTCTCTTGTGTATTTAATTTTTTATTTAAAATCAGTAATGAGCACTAGAGTTTAATTCCTTTTTTTTTTATTAACAAATAAGGAAGCAGAGATTTGCAGAGGAAGTAATTTGCCTAAAGTTAGAACCAGGTTAGAACCAGGTTCTCTGGCTCCTAAAGCAACACTTTTTCTTTTTTAAGGCTGTTTTTTTCTTGAGGTGCCTAGGCCTTTTCTGGAGAAAAACTGCGACAGAAGAAGAGAAAACCACCTGAACACAAGCCCCTTTAAGAGTAATTTTGCCAGTTCAATCCATTATTTCATTCCGTTCACGGAGGGGGTCATAATCCCAGGCAGGCTGGAACCCCACTCCAGCTTCCCAGCTGATTTATCCTTCAAGCTGTTATTTGAGAGCCAACTTTCTGAGGCCTCTTCCCTGACCCGGCCCCAGACTGAGGCAGAATGAGTGGCTGTCTCCTGTCGGCTCTCCCCAAACTGCTTGTACACTCTTTGCACTATGGCTGTTAATTCAACTGTGTGCTGTCAACCAAAAATGAGAGAGAGAAAGAGTTAAGTTTATGTGGTATTAAGTTGACTGGGACATAGGGCATCGAGATACTGGGGTAAACATGATTCTGGGTGTGTCTGTGAGGGTGTTTCTAGATGAGATTAACATCTGAATCAATAGACTCAGAAGAGCAAAGGGCCCTCCCAAACGTGGGTGGGCCGCTTCCGATCTGTTGAAGGCCTGAACACAGTAAGAAAGTAGAGTCAGGAAGAAAGCACTCTCTCTCTGCCTGACCCCCTTAGGGCTGGGTCAGAGGTCTTCTGCCTTCAGGCCAGACTCAGACAGGGGCCACCCCATCGGCTCTCCTGAGCCTCTAGCTTACTGAGGGCAGATCTTGGGGTTTGTCAGCCTTTAAAATTCTATCAGCCAATTTCTTGGTGCACGTGATTTTATATTTATCTTATTGATTCAATTTTTCTGGAGAACTCTGAATACAGAGAGAAAGAGGAGACAGAGAGAGAAAGGCTTCCCACCAGCATACTCAGTGAGTGTAGGTCCAACGGTGAGCGTGGGTGGAGAGTGATTATCAGCGTGTGTTCCCTTGGGTCTGAGCTCTGAGTGCTTCTAGGGTGTAAGCCCTCGTTGTGCTGTGAGTCCCTCCAAGCCCATGTTTTTCACACACATATAGGCACTAGAATCAGTGTCACTCCTTAATTGGGGCCCAATCAAAGAACCAATGACTTAAGGTCATTTTGACTGTATGTTGTTTTTGCTTCATATGCATAATTTTAGAATATTGCCATAATTTGGAGACATTCTTCATAATGTGGTCCCCTTGTGTGTGCGTGTGTATGCATGCCCATGTGTGTGTAGCAAAGTGTAGTAGGTATGCGTGTGACTCACTGGAATACTTTTTTTCATTGACAACGAAAGCAATATTGCTTCCTCAGTTTCTGGAGACAGCTTACTTACAACTAGATTGTATGAGTGACACTTCTCCAAAATAGCTCGGTATCTTTTTTTTTGTATCTGAAGGGGACTTATGCCCTGAGACCAGCCCTTCCATCCATTCCAACAGCTGCTAAGGAGCAAAGCACATAAGCAGAGAAAATACTACCTACTCTTGTCCTCAGCCTAATCTCATAGAAGATGGCTTTTCATTTTCCCAACCCCATGGCCATATTTTAAAACCTCCATTAAGAGAAAAGGGGACTTTCAAAGCAATAGACAGGATTTACTTCTCCATTGCTGAGAGAGAGAGTTCCAGTGAAAATGGAGGGAATCTGGGCTGGAACCTGAGATACAGAATCGTGAAGTCGACCAAAAGCACTTCCCAACCTGGGTTAATCCTGCAGCATCAGGGGAGCTCAAGACGGGTTCTTCAGAAGAAAAAATAATAGAAGTTGGATAAAGGCGAAATAGCATCTGCCCTACGGGGCAGGCCTGGTGAGGGCAGGGCTACTACTCAGGGCAGCATTCGAGGTGAGTTTCAGTGTCTAGGCATGTAACTCATTAGACTTTCAAAGCCTTTCGCCTTCTTATTCCCTTTTAGCCCTTAACTGACCTCCAGGAGAACTGAGAGAAAGGCCGGGACAGAAGCTGTTTTATGTTTAACTTCACAAATATTTTCTGAGTACTATAGACACTGAACTCTCTACCTAGAGCCATGAAAGCATCACGATCACCACCCTCACGGAGCTTAGATTCTAGCGTAAGAGAAGAGGGGAAGAGACTGTGGCAAGGAACTACGAGTGTGCAATTTTTTTAACAAAAGGAAAATAGCTGTTAGGGAAGAATGACAGGAGATCCAGTGGCGATGGATAAGGGGGGGATCAACAGAGAAACTCACATTTAAGCTGAACTTCAAAGCATACACAGAGGTTCTTAAGATTTCAGGTTTCTGCTTCTACCCCTAAGGTCTGACGGGGACTAAACAAACACAGAACTGGCCAACTGGTCATCCATAACCAGGCAAACCTTTGGTGCTTCAAAACAAAGCCTCCGTGAAAACTGGATTAAAAATCCTGGTTTAGGCCTGAGGTTCAATGTGGACTTTGGTCTCTGAATGTAAATTTTTAGATCTGTATACTCAGGTATGCCTGAGGTCTGGAAAGAGGGTAAAAAAGAGGTCCCTGATTTAAATGAATTATTTGGGAGGATAAGGGCATGCATGCTTTTGGAGATGCAGAATGCCAAGTGAGAACTGTTTTAACAAGGAGACCCTGCCTCCTAGTAAAACAAAGACTAATACATTCAAGTTCTCACCAACTGGATGAATAAAACCTCTCTCTCTGAGGAAGTGGGAGCTTGTTGCTTATCTTAAATCATACCCTTCAATGGGAAGAGGAGAAAATGATTTTCCAGAGTTCATATTAACAATGAAGAGAAGTGGAGAAGTCTTTACTCTTCAACCCCTTTCTGCCTGGCCTCCTCTCCAACATGGGTAAATGGGAGAAAACCTGTAGATACCCTGGAAATGCAGACATCGTTCAGATATGAGGGAACTTCTGAGTTGGGGTAAGGAGTTTGGATGTAATTACTAAACAGCACAATTATAGGGTCAGATTTGCATGTTTAAGTCATCACTCTGATTAAAATAAAAATTACATATCGGGGAAGCAAGAGGCAAAAATAAGGATTTTGTTAGAAAAATTTGGGGAAGGGATGACAAAATTTAGTTCAGGATCATGGTGGTGGGCCAGGGAAGGGGAGAAATCCGAGAGGTCCATGGGAGGTGATTGGATGGCAGCAGGGGTAGGTTAGGGGTCAGAGAGGGGGATCCTGTGACCGTCCTGTGTTTACAGACTGAGCAGCTGGGGGATTGTTGGAGGAGCTGCTTTGGAGAGAAGGAAATTATGAGATCAGAAGGAATACACCAGGTCCTAATTAACTCTGAGTCATCCAAGTGAAGTTCCCTTACTATTATTGGACGTATGGGTATGGATTTCAGGAGCAAAGACCAGGTGAGCACCTGAAATCTGGGAGACTATGCTTAGTAAATGTATCCAGTGATGAACAGTTTCTGAAAAGCAGGACTTTTGTAAACAAGGAACATGCCAAGCAAACCAAGATGGACTGGTCACCCTGCTGGAAAGCAAATGTGCTGGAGAATGGGGTACAACACGGGCCAGGAGAAGGGGGTTCTCAAAAGAGTCAGTAAAAATGGGGGGCTCCACTTACAGTCAAGAAAGTAGTACCCCAATGGGACATGATTTCAGAGATTTCCAGCAGCACGCGGTGAGTCTGCCCATGTAGGTGCCTGATTATGGTAACTAGTCTTTCATTCGTTCCCATGAATGTGACATCACTTCTCTCAGAACAGTTAGATTTAGGGTCTCCATTGCTTAGAGCACAGCGTTGAAATTTCTCATTTAAACACTTACATCACTCCAGGATTATTA